TTTTGCGCACTTGTAATGTTAGACTCTGAACTAAGCCTCTTTTCTGTCTACGTAGAACGCAGCCGTAAAAGTTTGTAAATTCCCCGCCAAGTTTGCTTGTTCTGTGTATTCGAATACAGAGACAAACATACATGAATGGTTTATAGCATTGCTGTTTTGGTACGGCAAAAATGGTGCTTCAGTAAACAGTCAGGTGGGCCACTTTGAGGGATGCGATTGTAGACTTCACCAATCCATGTCCAGTATGAGATTCAAACGAAAAGTGGGTCGATAACCGCATCTGGGAAACGGATACAGCGAAAGCCGGATGCGAACTTGATCTAAACAGATACGGCGACCAAAATCGTGTGAACGCTGCCAACAAATCAATCAGCGGAAGTACGAACACAACGAATCACGACCGTCATGTTCGACAGAGTTTTCACTGGTCGTTTCCAGGATTCGAACAGAATCATCGCGGTTAACGCACACTATGATGTTTTTTAATGCTTCCCGAATTCCGGCTTTTATTATGCAAAAAATTGTAGGATTCGTCGGTCGCAAATCCTTCGTATAGTGATCTGCAGCCGTTACTTTATCTGAGCGAAGATACGTGGTCATGGCTAATAACGTTTCGAAAATAAATCTGTCATTACTGAAGTAAAACAAACTGACCTATGTAAATGTTTAACACATTGGTTTAAAGAAAAAGCTAGGTCAGTGGGGTGTCTTGTTGCTATGCGGTTTCCCGAGGTTTCTGTGATAGCCTAACCACCTATTATTGTCTGGCACACAGTGTGTGAAAAAAACAGAACCAGTTTGGCAACCATGTTCATGTTTGCTTAAATCCATTTCACGATTAGACCCAATCAATGTCGGCTTCGGTATTTTGGTCTAGATGGTTTGTTGGCCCCCGGTTTTGACGCACATATTTTGGCACATGGAAAGCTAGCTTGAAGTGAGCAATTACTTCTCACCCTTACATTGTTCAGCTTTAAATGCCCAACCTGAATCCAAGTCACTAAACGTGAAGATGACTCATTGTTTTCGGTAAACTTGATGTGTCGCGGATGAACGAGTAGCCATATTTGTTACATTAGAAGATCAAGTGGCACACATGCTAGTTTACGTTGCTTCATTAACTAGCGAAATACAATGTAATTATTTGGGTTGAATTGACAATGGGTTAGGTCATGGTGAACAAATCGTAAGAGCGACGGGAAAGAGAGGGAGTTGAAATGCTAGCTCGCACTGGTAAACGTCAATCAAGTAGTCTACTTCCGGATCTTGATTCGTCATGGATTTTTGGTGATCTTCTTACGCTGTTGGGTTAGTTGCTGATTTTCATCATCATCACGTTGCTCGGAGTTGTCGAAGGTGCTCGAATTTAATTAGTGTTGTTCTCACGTTTCTTGTCAGTATACGTTCGACCGTACACGTAGTGCGTCATCCA